AGGGGATATTAGAGGTCATTGAGTCTCACATCCTTATTTTACAGATCAGGAAATTGGCTTACAGAGAGGCAGGCTGAGTGACTAGTTTATGGTCCCATAGCTACAGAGTGTCAGAGGTAGGATTTGAGTGCTGTCTTCAAATCCAGCGCAGTGCCCTCTATGCCATGTGTCCTCTACCTCGGGACCAGGTTTTCCCTCTGAGAAGGGAGGTTTGATTTTTCTTTTCTTTTTTTCTTGTCTGTGGGTTGTGGCAACTTGGAGAATTTTGTAAAATGTGTGTTTAAGGTGATACACTGAAGTTTGTTGAGTAGGGGAGCTAATCAGGCCAGATGTGCTCAGATATTCAAATGGATCCATGATCTCGTAGTAGAGTATAAACACTGTGTTTATAAGTAGGAAAGAATATTAATTTCCCAATTGTTTGAGAATTGTGCCACATCTATTTTTATGAGAGAGAAAGCTATCCAGATTTGGGGTTATAGATGTGACCAAAACCATTCCAGCTGATTGGCCAAGTGCAGCCAATATCTGGAGGAAAGATGTTAAGGGATGGTGGTTCCAACCTCACTTCAGTGGATATAATCACAGAATGCCTCAACGTAATTATGTTAGATAATGTATAGAATGTCCTTTAGCTTTATAATTGTAAGCCAGTATTAATGTTGTGGAAAGACAGACATTTTAAGAAAGGCTTCCTTGCTATTGCGGTGGGAATGTTGGTGACTGAATGTCTTTATTGTGGATCACAAGAATCATAGATTTAGAGCTAGAAGGGGCATCAGAAGGCATCTAGTCTTCGCCCCTCATTTTATAGGTGAGGAAACAGGTCTAGAGAGCTTAAGTGGTTTAAGATCACATCTATAGTAAGAAGCAAAATTGCCATTTGAACATGGATCCTCTGACTCTAGATCCAGGGCTCTTTCCATTATACCCTGCTAACACAGTAGGCAAGCTAGTTGCTGTGTCTTCAGCTTAAAATAGATTAATAATGGTCAGTTTACAGGGAGCTCTAAGACAGTGCCCGAAATGGGACCAACTTGATTCTCATTGCCTTACAAGCTTCTGCCTCATACTCTCTTTTTTTGGGGGGGGGGAAGTTGGGGTTAAGTGACTTGCCCAGGGTCACACAGCTAGTAAGTGTCAAGTGTTTGGTCTGAGGCCGGATTTGAACTCAGGTCCTCCTGACTTCAGGGCTGGTGCTCTATCCACTGCGCCACCTAACTGCCTCTTGCCTCATACTCATTGCACAGCCCTTTATGATCTTGTTTCCTGTTAAACTTCTTTCTTTTGTTCTAATACCCGAACTACGGTACCTTGTAGTTAAGTTTCAGATGCATTGTTGGTGGAGGTAGGCACCTGAGGAGGCAGATGGATCAGGTGGTGTTTTTGATTTACAGATAAGGAAAACTGATGCTCACAGGTGGTGATGTGCCCTACTAGTGTTGACATTTATTCTAAAGAATAGGATCTGGATGTTTTGACTCTGTTGAGTGTTTTTGTCTATTAATAAGATAACTGCTGGCACCATTACATCATCTACCATTCAGCCTTAGGGTTTAGCTGGATGAAACCTCAACTGTTTTTCTTTTTTTTTTTTTCCCTTTCTTCCCTGCCTTGCTCCCTAGAAATAACACATGACACTTAAATTTTTTGGGGGGGCAGCTAGGTGGTACAGTGGATAGAGCACCAGCCCTGAAGTCAGGAGGACCTGAGTTCAAATCTGGCCTCAGACCAAACACTTGTCACTAACTGTGTGACCCTGGGCAAGTCACTTAACCCCAATTGCCTAAAAAAAAAATTTTTTTTTAAGGATTTGCTCCTTGATACTCCAGAGAACTATATGTATAAGTCAAAGAAGGGCCAGTATCATTACTGAAAGCTGAGGTTCTTGGGAGTGGTTTCCTGGATTCAGATCAATTCAGCAAGCATTTTTGTTAAGTGCCCACTATCTATGTTAGTGGCTGGAGATGTACATATAAAAAGGAAACAAGGCTTGCAAATCATCAAGGACTCCCTACCTCAGCTCAAGTTTCCTGTGGGAGGTCTTGCCCATTCCTCTAGGTATTTGTGCTCTGCCGACTTCCTTTAAAATTACTTTTTTATTTACTTACCTGTACAGTGGAATCTACATTCCAGTAGAATGTCATTTATTATTCTTTCATTTGAACTCAGCATTCATGAGAAATACTGTGAATGTAGAATTGATAAGACTTGGAAACAGATTAGATGTGGAGTAGGGCTGAGAGTGAGGTGAAGAGTCAAGGATGACACTGAAATTTTGAGCCTGAATGACTGGGGAACTGGTGCTCTTGATAGTAATAGAAAAGTTAGGAATGGGTGAAATATAATGTTCATTTTTAGCTTTAAGATGTGTACAGATTGTCCAATAGACATTTGGAGATGGAGGTCAGTAGATTGATTAGGGCTAGATAAATAGATCTGAGAATTAATTGCCTAAGAGATGATAATTGAACCCATGGGAACTGCACTAAGCAGAATAGTATAGTAGAAAAGAGGGCTCGTGACAAAGCTGTGGAGGATGAAGATCCAGTGAAGGAGACTGAGAATAGCTCACACAAATAGGGGAACCAGGAGAGAGTAGTATCTTAAAGATGTAGCGAGAGAGTGAGTAATAGTGTCAAAGACTACAGAGATGCTAAGAAGAATGAGGATTGAGGAAAGGCCGTTGGATTTGAAAATTAAAACATTGTTAGTCATTTTGGAGAGTGACATTTCTGTTGAATGATGAAGTCAGAACGTAGACTGTAGAAAGTTAGAAAGAGAGTAAGAGGAAAGAAAGTTCTATTGTTATAGAATAGCTTTCTCAAGAGATTTAGCCACAAAAGATAGGAGAGATATGGAAAAATATCAAGGATGGAAGGATCAATTGTGGGTTTTTTGAGGATGGGAGACATTGGACATATTTGTAGGCAGGAGCCAGTAGACAAGGAGAGATTGAAGATAATTGGATGTATATAGTTTTTGTCACAAAGGTTTTATAGAAATGAGAAAGTAGCAGTATTATCTTGATTGCTTTTTTTGGGTAGTAGTGTGGTCTATCGCTTTTTTTTTTTTTTTTTTAAGGCAATTGGAGTTAAGTGACTTGGCTACGGTCACACAGCTAGTACGTGTCAAGTGTTTGGTCTGAGGCCGGATTTGAACTCGGGTCCTCCTGACTTCAGGGCCAGTGCTCTATCCGCTGCGCCACCTAGCTGCCCCCAGTCTATCACTTTTTTCAAGCTTTTGGTATATCCTTCTCTCTTTCAGATGTCTTTGGACCAGTCTCCAGCACAAATCTCCTTCATGTGTACTTCTGTTGTTAGTTTATCTTAAGCAAAACCCAGCCAGAGTGTCTAGGCTGACTCTGCCCATGTGCTGTCGTTGCTTTCTTCACCTAAACTGGTACCATTTTGGACTCCGCTCTCTCACATCGCTGAACTCCAGTCACGTGCCAGATTTGGTAGATTCTCTTCTTGACCTGTCATTTTTTCTTTACCCATACTGTCACCTCCCTAACTCAGACCCTTATCACTTCTTGCCCCCATTGGTCTCCTTTCTTTTTATCACTTTCTCCATCCTCCACACTTGATTACTAAAGAGTCTTCAATGGTTCTCAGTTGCTGTTAGAAGAAAATAGATGCTCCTTTTATCATTTAAAACCCTTCATAGTCTGCTTTCCAGCCTGCCATTCTAGGTGTACTGTAGTTCACATTAATCTCCCTTCATAGTCTATTGAAGAATTTTATATTAATTGTCTTTATGGTCCAACTAAATAGGTCCATGTGCTACTTCCCAAACTCCCATTTTATGGCTTGTATTCCTTTGCACTGGTTTTCTGTGGTGCTTGCAGTGCAGTCCCTGCTCACTTCCACTTCAAGTACCACTTCCTGTGCAAATCTCTTCCCTCTTTACCCCAATGATTAGTGCCTACTCTGTACTTAATTTGTATTTATTTTCTTGTATTGTGTGGCAGTTGTACAGTAACATATGGCGGAGAATTTGTGTTTTATTTATTATCTGAAGAAATAAATGTGCTTTTTGCACACAAATCATTTATCTTTGTTGTTTTCATCACAAAATCATTTTAAGGATCATTTCTATTTTGCATAGCTGGTGTTAAGTGTAGTTCATTAAAACAGCTGTTGGGAATACTAGCCAGTTCTTGATTTTTCTGTGATAGATTTTCTCACCTTTTTATGTATTTCCCTTGCTGACTCTTTAAATATATCCTTGATAGATTAGTACCTTTGTCAGACAGTGAACATAAGGCAGGCTTATTAAGGTAAACTACCTACTCCTAAGGTAGAGCATTTTACTCCTATAAAAATAAAAATTTGGGAGTAGTGGAAATTAGGCAAAAATGAATCATCTCTGGATTTGTTTGTGCCATTTTTCTTCATGAAAAAACAAGAGTTGACGGTACTTTATTCTTGGTTGACTCATTTATGTTGTAACCTTCGCTGTGACTGGATTTCACATTGTTCTTAAAGGTTGACTAAACTGTTACTAACTGTCTTGACTCACATTCCCATGACCTGGTTCAAAGACTTGTCCTAACTTGTCTCTGGAGATTTCTCTTTAAGTGCTACTGAAGTACTTTAGCATCCTTATCTAAGTAACTTCCACTAAGAGGGCGTTCTGGAGCTTAGAGAGGAAGAACCAAGTAAAGACAAGGGAGAATATGTGAGTTGGACTTGTAGGTAAAATAATTTAGTTTTAAAATGTTGTGTGGAGGTTGGATTATATGTGAACCTGTTTTTTGCTTCAGACAAAATCACCTGAGAGAGGGTGTCAGTGATTTACTTGTTGGCATGTGCCTGAAAGTCATTCAGACACGATAGATACACTGACTGCTTATGTTGGAATTGCCTTTATTTTAGAATGATGGTGGGTGTTTCTTTTGTTATATCTTCAAAAATTGATTTGATTAACCTGTTTTTGAATTTAGGAAGTCTACAGTGCTTTAAGTAACTTTCTTTTTTCTTTCTTTTTTTTTCCAGTAAAACCTACAGATCTCAACTTCACTGCCAAAATGTCATTGTCTTCTACTGCTGCACATTGTTCAGCATCTGAAAATGCTTGCAGAATTTCACCAGGACAAGTCAATCAGGTAACTTGCCTTTGGGTATTTCTGTTTCTCTCTCTTTAAAGAAAATATGCAGCTCTGGTATGGGAACTGAACTAACTGGTGATTTAATTTTCAGATGATAGCATTCTCTACAGACCTGCTTTAGAAACACATCTTATGGAGGCCATGACCACTTTTTCTAGGCTCTCATAACTTTGAGTTGATTACTAAGTAAAAATAGTTTGATTACTAAAGAAGGCAATAATTTGAAAGTTAATGTTTTTCTGAATGTAAGGATTGTGCTAATGTGGTAAGACAGTGTTCTGTGGATTATTCAGAAATAGGTTGTCCAGCATTTTTACTTTCTTCCATCTGCAGCTTAGGGTCCAACTCCTTTTTTGTTTATTAGTACCTCTGTGAAGTGTTCAGCTCTTAATGAAAGTAATAAGTGTTATAAGTAGATTAAATGAGGTCATGATAGAAAATACCATATAATGAACTGTCATTAAAACCAGCATTATATCCAGTGGATCAACCAAAAATAGCCCTTACTGGTATTTTAAAAATTTGGCTTACTTTGGAAAATGTTTTGTGTCTTGATTAATTTTTTTTGGGATCATATGTGTGATTTCTTTGATGTTGAAAAATTCCTCAACTAATTTAGATTGGCACCTGCTTTGCAGTTTAACCTTAGAGATGTATCTGGCAGCACTGAGAAGTTAAGGGCCTTGCCATGGTCATGCAATCAATATGTATCAGAGGCAAGACTCGATCCTTTGTTTTCCTGAATCCGTGCTTGGCTCTCTAATTCCTGTATCACACTACTGTCCTACCTGAATTTTAAATCTACAGTTGGCTGGCATTCCTTTTCTTCAAGTGCAGGTTATACAAGAGACCAGTTCCTTAGAGGTGTTAAAAGTGTAAAATGTACTTAAATGACTCAAATTATTTTAAAATGTATGAGTAAATATCTTAATAGATTGATATCAAAACTAACGTTTTATTTTGGGAATATAAATTTCTGAAGGGAAGATACTAGGACAAATGTATTTCATGTTCTTGAGGACAATGAATAAATATTATTGGTTGCTAATGTAGTGGTCTGTGTGTAAGAAATAACCGCCAGTGTTTCTTAGGCTTTTAGAGAGACTCACATATTTGTGTATGTCTTTCATGATATACATGAAATTTTAGCTAAAATGTAAATAGCAGGTTATATTTATGTCTTTATTAGGTACGACCAAAACTGCCACTGCTAAAGATTTTGCAAGCAGCTGGTGCACAAGGTGAAATGTTCACAATGAAAGAGGTAAGCATCTAGACCTGTTGTACATTAGCTTGTAGAAAAAAATAGAAGTCAACTAATTCTCTAATACGTTTCAAGAATACTTTAACAATGGAAACCAGGATATGAATTAGTGTCTAATTCTGTTAGCAGCTCACTGTATATACTTTTAGACAGTCTAGATTACTGTGTAACAGATATTTTCAGGACACATCATGGGAAAGGGAGAAGATTTAAATCAAGAGTTCTAGTTTTGAGACACTGGAGTAACAGCTTCTGCTGTCTTTTAAACACTTAAGTTCAAGTTGTATTTGGTTATAAATTTTTTCCTGTAGAGTTCTTTTTGAAGTGTGTTGTCAGCTAAATGTAAGATTCACTGTGAATTCATTTATTTTAAGATTAAAATGCAAAGTGTGTACAAGATTAAAAAAATGACACTGTCACTGATTTACAGGGTATCCTGCCAGCCAGGAATTAAATGCAGTAGTTTTTCATTATAAATGTGTCAGATATTCCTGCAGAACCCTGTGACTTATTTTAAACACTTATGCATTTAAATAACTTACTTAGCTTCTACATTTTTTTTTTTTGCAAAAGCAAATTGAATGCTTTTACGTGGTTGAGGGCTTAGTGTTAAAATGTTAAGCAGTATTAGCAGCCCACAGATAGCCTAGTAAAGATCTTCCATTGAATGGAAAAAAATTATGTGTATCTGTCTCTAATTTACTGAAACATTTTGTTTTGACACAACAAACAGTTCCAAACAAACTGTTTGAGAGCACGTTCTTGGAGAAAGTTAATTTACTTATTGTTAATCTAGAGGAGGCATGTGTCATTTAACTGACAAGATGCTCTTGCATTTGGCCAAAGTTGTTGCTTCTCTATTGTACTCATTATGTATACTGTTCTTTTGGTTCTATTAACCTCATTTAATGTATCCTTTCGTAGGTCTTCTCAGGTTCTTCATTATTCCTTATATTGCAGTAATATTCCATTTCATTCACATACCTTAATTTGTAAGGCATTTCTCAAGTTTGAGGGCTTTTATCACCAATAGACTATTATGGTAATGTTTGTAAACAGGGTTCTTATCTTTCTGTAACTTAGCTTCCATGTGATGATCTCAGTAGTGAAATCTCTTGAAGAGTATGAACAAATTTGTAACTAATTGCATAATTTGAGATTGTTTTCCAGGAAGATTGAACCAATTCAAATATAGCTCTACTACTAATGAATTAGCAAGCATGATTTTCAACAATGCGTTTTCCATCTTTTTAGTATCTTTGCTAGCTTAATAGTTAGGGGATAGGGTAGGGGATTAATGCCTCAGGATTGTTTTAGTATGTCTTTCTCTTAACAGGGATTTTGAAAATTTTTCAAGTCTTTTTTCAAATGAGATAATAATTGTTAGTATCTGTTGACTAGGGAGTGGCTCTTAGTCATACGCTTTTGTCATTTCCTACAGTTTTTGGCTGTCAGACTTTTATTAGAATTTTTTAATGCAGTTTTCCCCAGGTTTGTATTTTTTCATCAGATGGATCGGTTTTTATTTGTACAGAAGCTTTTTAGTTTTATACAATGATTGTCTTTTTGTGTTTCATGATATTTTCTATCCTATGTTCGATTATGGATTTTTTCCCTAGTGGAAAAATAGAATCAAGTAGAAAATAGTGGAGAATTTCCATTCCTAGCAGAGAGTAAAAATTAGTTGAGAATAGAAGGTTTCATCTCTCATGATTATGGAGTTGTAAAAGATAGAGCTTTCTTTTCCCTCTAGTTTTTTTAAAATTATATAACTTTACACATTTATGATATTTATCCATTTGGAATTCATTGTGGTAGAAGGTATAAAATACTGAACTAAAGATTTTTTGGTTAGGCTTTTTTTAATTAAAAAAAATTTTTTTTTTCAATGAACAATAGTTTATTTTCTCTCCCACTCCTCATATTACCTCCACGCCAAAAAGAAAAACAAAACCCTTGTAACAAATATAGTGAGATAAAACACATTTTTGCCTTGGCCATGTCTGCAAGCACGTCTTGGTCTGCATTCTGAGCCTATCACCTTTCTGTCTGTGAGGAGGTGGGTATCATGTTTTATCACAGGTCTGCTGGAATCATGGTATTGATCAAGAGTTCTTTTTTTTTTTTTTTTTTTGTTAACAATATTGTTATTATCCTCCTTTATCTGTTCACTTCATTCTAAATACATGTCTAACCCGGATTTCATGAAAGCATCCCCTTTTATAATTTTTTATGGCACAATAGTATTCCATTGCATTCATATACTATAACTTATTTAGCCATTCCCCAATTGATAGGTACCCCCTTAGTTCCCTATTCTTTCCTACTACAAAAAGAACTGCTATAAATATGTATGTATAGAAGTTGTTGTTCTCTCTTTGATGCATTTGGGGTAAAGGCCTAGTAGTGTTATTTCGAGGTCAAGGAGTGTGCGCAGTTTTAGTGGCTTTTTGGGCACAGTTCCAAATTGCTTTTCAAAATGGCTGAACCAGTTCACAGCTCTATGAGCAGAACATTCATGTGCTATATCTTAAGCTTCTTTATTGTTATCAGTAGTTATATATAGGCAACTAGGTGGCATAGGAAGACCTGAATTCTAATCCTCCTGCAGACAACTAGCTCTATGACCCGGGCAAGTAACTTAACCTCTCTCTGTCTCAGTTTCTTCATCTATAAAATGGAGATAATAATCATGTACCTCACAGGGTTATTGTACGGATCAAATGAGTTTACCTATGTAAAGCGCTTTGTAAACCTTAGAGCACAATATATGTATTAGCTATCATTATTGTTATTATTATTAATCTTATCTAATAAAGAACCTCTTCTCCCAAGAGCTTGTGCTCTTGGATTTATCAAAAGCTAGTTGCATTTGTTTGTAGGTCTTGCTTATTTAACCTATTCCACTGATATCCTTTTCCATTTTTTAATCCAGTGGTAGATAATTTTGTTAATTGCTGCTTTGTAGTGTGAGATGAAATCTGGTAGTGTTAAGCCTCTCTCCTTCCTACCATTTTTTCATTATTTCCTTGGATATTCTTAACCTTTTATTCCTCCAAATCATTTTTAAAAATTAATTAATTTTAGCTTAAGCTTTTTTTTTTTTAAACTAGGCAATGGGGTTAAGTGACTTGCCCAGGGTCACACAATAAGTGTCAGATGTCTGAGGCTGGATTTGAACTCAAATCCTCCTGACTCCAGGGCCAGTGCTCTATCCACTGTGCCACCTAGCTGCCTCTCTATAAGCTTTTGAATTTTAAATTTTCTACCCCTTACTCCCTACCTCTCTCCCCAAGGTGGCATGCAATCCGACGTAGGCTATACGTATGCATTCCTATTAAACATGTCCTCACATTAGTCATGGTGTAAAGAAAAATTGGAATCAATAGGAGGAACCACAAGAAAGAAGAAACAAAACAAAACGGGAGGAAAAAAAGCAAATAGTGTGCTTCGATCTGCATTCAGACAGACTCCATAATTCTTTCTCTGAATGTGGATAGCATTTTCTATCATGAGACTTTTGGAGATATCTTAGATCCTTGCATTGCTGAGAAGAGCTAAGTCTATCAACGTTAGTCATTGCACAACATGGCTGCTACTGGGTACAGTGTTTTCCTGGTTCTGCTCACTTCACTCAGCATTAGTCCATACAAGTCTTTCCGAGTTTTTCTGAAGTCTGCTTGCTCATAATTTCTTATAGCACAATAGTATTCCATTACATTCATATAGCACAACTTGTTCAGACATTCCCCAGTTGATGGGCATCCCCTCAATTTCCAACTCTTTGCTACCACAGAAAGAGCTGTATAAATATTTTTGTACATATGGGGCCTTTTGCCATTTTTATGATCTCTTTGGGATACAGCCCTAGAAGGCCTCCAAATCATTTTTTAATAATTGTCTAATTACTTTGGTAATTAGATTAGTAAAGCACTAAATCTATGGAGTAATTTGGATAATGTTACAATTTTTACTACACTGGAATGTCTAATGTGTTTGCGTTTCAAAGACTTTTGCCCAGTTCTGGGTTTCTTAAATAGAGTGCTTAGAAATCAATTCTGTGAAAATTCCCTTTCTTCCTCCATCCCCAGACTTAAGCACAACATTCTGTATATGTTTTTCTTGTGTGCGAGACATTTCCCCCTTTTGTTCCAGTATTTCCTTTCTTGTTGCTGATGGGTGATTTTGTGTGATTTTTGACTAGAGTTCTTTGATGTAGAGGTTTGGTTTTTTTTTTTTAAGACCACTTAGAATATTTTCTCTTTGCCCTATCAGCTCTTGAGAGTAACAATTACTTTTTATTTTTTTGATGATTATCAGTCTCTTTTTCTCCTCTCCTAATCTTACCACTCTCTTCCTTCCCCCAAGTCTAAAGGTATTTCCAATTTGATATAATTACCTTCCAAAAGGGCTAGATTTTGAATAAGCTTTTTTGTACCATTTTCTAAATTCTAACTTGATTGTGTCTTTGAGAATCTAAACACTATAGTAGCCTTGTTGGTCTATCAAAGTCTCATGTTTAGTTGAAAGTTCTTTACCAGAAATAACAGTAAAAAATAAATCAAATGCTTTATAATTAAAATGATGAAGCTTTGACACAGAGAAGAGTTGAGAAAAGAACTCTTTCCATTCATTGCAGGGTTGAGGGACTATGGGCAGACAATATTGAATATACTGTCAGATGAGGCCTGTGTATTAGTTTTGAGTTTTGTTGAAATAACCTTTTTTCTTTTTTATCCTTTCAAAATTTTTTTTATAAGATAGGTTTGGTTGGAAGAGATAATTAGATATATATATATTTCAAGAGGAATGTGATCAAAACAAAAGACTTCAATTAAAAAAGGGAAAATAAGAAAACACTGTCTTAGTACTGTTCCTAAACCATCAGTTTTTATACTAGTGTTGTTTTACAGCAATGGCACTCAACTTTTCAAATATAAGTACTCTTTTTTTGGTTAAACAATTTTGTGAGCCTCATTCCCCCCATGTAACAGTTACGTGCATGAATGAATATTGTGTTGGAGCTAAATAGAAATCAAAGTAACAATGCTAGGTCTGAAGGGACTATGCAGATCCCTATTAATAATTCTGTGGCCACAGCCTCTGAGTTGGGATCCACCATCCTAAGATTTAGAGAGATGAAGGGACTTGTTCACTGTCACACAGCTTGGTCTGTGCGGGAGATGAACTAAGGCTTTTTGTGACTCACAAAACCCTCTGTCTTTGTCCAAGGCCACCTCTCTGTGTAGAAAGCCACACTGCTTTTTCTCGGGCAAGTGAGTACATTGCTTTGGACCTCAGTTCCTATTCTTTGCAATAAGGTTAATACTGCTCGACCTATCTAATTCAGATTGTTGTCAGAATCAAATAAAGTAATTGAGGAGAAAGTATTTTGAAAAGTATACATTTTCATAACGATATTATTAGAGAAGCCTGCTCTGTGTTCTGGGCAGGTTCTCTTCCTCAGAGTTTGACCCATGCAGTTTGGCCTTGTTGCTGGGTGTCTTCCTTTGGTCACTACTTTTCCTTTCTCTCCTTGCTCAGGCTACTTAGTAACTGTTTCTATTAGTACTCTGGGGCATGTGTCTTGGAAAAAGACATATTGTAGCATCACTTATCCAATGTAATGAGAGTAACTTTAGGGGATTGTCTGTGCAGATGTCCAACATAATAATGAGGTAGTTATTGACAGTTCCCTTAGGCTCAGCAAATTAAGTTGGAGAGGTATATGGGCATAAATGATTCATAATACATATTTTACTCTGCTTATGACTCTGCTTATGAGTTCTAACTGGCTGAGGACATAAATGGACTTAATGAAGCATTGTTACTGCTGGTTTTTGGTTTTTAGCCTGATACCTGGGCAAATCACTTACTTTTTAGTTGCTTTAATTTTATATTACTGATTTCTAAACTTAATTCTGTAAAATAAAGCAGCACTAAGCTAAAATTAGTGAGAGTATATGATATATTTTACTTAAAAATTGATGCTCTTTTTAAAAATGTTGCTAACCATTATCTCTCTTGCCTATTATAGAATCTTCCCAAGTACCAAAAAAGTTCAGTTAACCAAAATGAATCAATACACTAATCATGTCAGATAAACCTCATTCTATAAGAGGCATTTGTCATTTCTCTCAAGTCAAGATTTTTTAAAATTGTTTTTTGGTGATAACTTTTTGATCATAGTTAATGTATTTGTCTATTTTCCTTCTGTTTTGTTACTCAAGTGAAATGCTGCAAAGTAGAGTAAATTTTTAAGTAATTGCATGCTGAACTTAAGTATACTCATTTGCTATAGATTATTTTTTTTTGATTGAAGGGAATGCTGTTATTTAAAGGAAGATGATTCCGTTAAAATAATCTCCATGTATTCGAGATATAGTTTGTCTTCCTAAAGTTAGGTATCAAGAGTGAGGTTGAGAAGAGAGAAAACCTTCTAAGTAAGATTTCCTTGTATATGGAGCCTTTTATTTGGAAGATCACTGAGCTTATTAGCACTAAGAAAATGGTTTTGGTATGACTGAGGTAATTATGTAGTCTACAGTTCCAGGAAAAAAATGGTGGAAGATCACCTGTATAAGATTCTAACCGTCTTCAGACTTCTTTAAGGCTTTAGTGTTTCCTCTTCTGGAGTCTTCCCTCTTTTTTTCATTTTATTACAACTATTATACAATGGAGGTGCTGGACTAGATAATGTTCCATCTAAGTGCTATGATTGTAGCTGACTAACATAAGTTAAGATGGAGAAAAAATTCTATAATATGCATTTTAGGCACAAAACTACTAGAAACAGTTTTTATTCATTTAGATTAAACACATTCTAAATATTAGAGAAATAGAGGTCCAAAGATGGGCAGAGTTTCCTATGCCTATGTTAGAAATTTGAAAATTTCTAATACAAACCATTTTGGGGTATTAATTTATAATCTCTAATAAATAAAATTCCACACTTGGGGTTAAGTAAAAGTTCAAAATTTAGGTAAAAGTCCCAGAGCAATAATAACTTAATGTGTTGGTGCATTCTGAATAATTTTCATAAAATTATTCAGTGTCTTTGGATATTACCTCGGAGGCAGAACTTCTTAGCTTGGGGTTCTGGAACTTGTTTCTTAAAATATTTTAAGGGAAACACAAAAAAAGGTGAAGAATTCTGCTTGGAGGATTCTTAGTTCTACCTGGTCAGAAGTAAACTGGAGACTTCCTTCCTTTGGTCTAAAGATTATTTTAAATAACTTCAAGAAGGCTGGATTAGAAACTAGTTAAGTCTTCTGTAAGAAAGATGTAAAAAGATTTTAGTGAAGGACTTTGTTTCAGAGGATAAGGGTTTCTTAGGCAGATTAGTCCAAAGGCTTTGGGCTAGGATGCCTAGAAAAGCGCTTTCTTAATCTTTTTAAAAGATACAGTGTATGTTAGATCTGTATGCCAAAGAGATCCAAAAAAGGGGAAAAGGACCTAGTTGTACAAAAATATTTATAGCAGCTCTTTGTGGTGGCTAAGAATTGGAGATTGAGGGGGATGCCCATGAACTGGGGAATGGCTGAACAAGTTGTGGTATATGATTGTGTTGGAATGTTACTGTGCTATAAGAAATGACAAGCAAGATCTTTTCAGAAAAACTTGAAAAGATTTCTATGAACTGATACAAAGTGAAGTGAGCAGAACCAGGAGAACCATTGTACACAGTAACAGCAATAGTGTATGATGAGGAAGTGTGAATGACTTGGCTATTCTCAGCAATACAGCGATCCAAGACAATCCTGAAGGACTTGTGATGAGGCATATATTTAGGTATATACAGAGCAAGTACCAGATGACCGTGGGGGAGAAGGCGCCAAGAGCTGGTGGGACAGGGAAGGCCCCCTGCACAAGGCAACACTGGAGCTGAGGCTTGATTCCAAGAGGCGGAGATAAAGAGGAGCAGCTTTCCAGGCCTAAGGGGTTGCCAGTGTGCAGGAAGAAAGCAGTGTAGAAGGAATGGTGAAAGTGTGTGGAGGGTGGAATGATAGGGATGGAAACAGGATGGTGTCAGGATAGGAAGGGATTTAAATATCTATTAAGCCACTACTGAGTGCAAAGTACTATACTAGGTACAGGGGACACAAAGAGAAACCTGAAACCACCCTTGCCCTCATGGAGCTCTCATTTTATTGCAGTAGATACTATTGAGATTTTTTTTACTGTATCACTGAGGTCCTCAAAAATACTGATGTTGACATTCCTCAGTAGATATCCCTTATCTCCTATAAAAATGAATGTTGAATTTTAGGGAGTATCTGGACAGATGTTGTTTTGCTGTTTTATACCCTTGCAGGTCATGCATTATCTAGGCCAGTATATAATGGTGAAGCAGCTTTATGATCAGCAAGAACAGCACATGGTATATTGTGGTGGAGATCTTTTAGGAGAACTGCTAGGACTTCAGAGCTTCTCTGTGAAAGATCCAAGGTAAGAAGATTCAAGGTTCGCCTCTGGGGGTTTGTCCACAACCTTGAGTGACGTGTGGTCCTGTGTCCAGAAGCCATCAGGAGTTGAGAAGTCCGTGTTCTTTTCTCCCTGTGTAGTAACATCTACCCCTTCTGAATCCAAGTTCTCTTAAAATTGGTTTGTTGTTGTTGTTGTTTTCTGTTTTGGGGAGGCATTTGGGGTTAAGTGACTTGCCCAGGGTCACACAGCTAGTAAGTGTCAAGTGTCTGAGATCAGATTTGAACTCGGATTTGAACTGGGGTTCTCTTTACTTCGAGGCAAGAGCTCTATCTACTGCGCCACCTAGCTGCCCCTTATCTTAGAATTGTAATGGGGATTTACTTAATTAAAATTTAAAACTAGAAGGCAAGAACTGATTCTTCCATGAAATAATCTTTATTTAGGTTGGCAGGCTACAGAAATTGAACATATTAGTTTGTCTGTCATAGATCTGTTTCTCTATCACTTAAATAGGAATAATGATGCAGCACCTCCCTGCCTCATATGGAGAGAAATAATAACATTTGATAAAAAGCACTTTGAGAGTTCTTAGAACTATAGAAATCTGAGTATGTTTTTTCTGTGTTTAATTTTTTCCTTCATTTCTTAACAGCCCCCTTTATGACATGCTAAGAAAGAACCTGGTCACTGCAACTGTCACAGGTATGTCTGTCCTCTTTTGTCAGAACGTATATATATAGTACATAGTACAGCAGTGATTTGATTAGGGTAAGTAATAGGAAAGGAGGAATGTGAATGAAATCATATGAGAATGATTAGAAGGGATATATCACTTTTTTAAATGTTACTGCTATGTATTCAAGTGCCAGTTCGTTTAACTTTTTTCTTGATTATGATATATTTACTCTTCCAATGTTGTTGATAAAGTATTTGCAGGAAATTGTGTGTGTGTGTGTTGACTATATTTGTCAAGAAAATGACGAGGTCCTAGGGTTGAGCAAGTGAATCAGGCATAATTAAGAACTGGGTCCTTGGGGCAGCTAGGTGTTGCAGTGGATAGAGCACCGGCTTTGGAGTCAAGAGGACCTGAGTTCAAATCCAGCCTCAGACACATAACATTCACTAGCTGTGTGACTCTGGGCAAGTCACTTAACCCAAATTGCCTCACTTTAAAAAAAAAGCAAAACTGGGTGTTTGTATTTTATCATTTCTAAGAATGTAAAATTTACAAAACAATTTTGTTAACTCTCTCCTCCCAGATTTTCACCTATTTGTTTGAGCTTGTCTCAAATTGGGAAAGTCTGAAGATTTTTGAAACTTTGTCCTCCAAAGAAATCTACCCCAGTTGTGTTAATCTCTGAAATTTTGTCTTGTTTTGATAGTTTATAGCAATAAGTAGGTTGGTGGTCATCCACCCCCAATGATTGTGCTTGCTTAGAAATAAGGGAAAACACTTTGAACTCTTTCAAACCTAAATGTGTGAATTTTAGTTCTTATATTCTGCAGATAAACTTTGGAGTCCTCTTGGACTCACTGAGACATTTCTCAAATCAAAGTTCAGGAAGGCCTTGTAAATGGCCACGTTCTTGAAATTTAATTACTTGTGCAGTAGTTCAGCTTCTGTAGCTGTAGAATCTGTATTTCTTTGAGCACTAAAGGAGGGAAACGTAGCAATAAATTTCTGGTATTCCAGTAGACACCCTGGAAATCAATAGACTTTGTGTCTAACAATTGAATTATAACAATAATAGGATACATATATCTCAATCTCTAGATCTGTGTATACATAGGCACACATATGTATATCTGTTTAAAGTCCTCCTGTTTTGTTTTTTTTTCACTTCATTTGTTATTTCATACTAATTTTGCAGGAGTTAGCTTGCTATAAATGCTACCACTGCATAATCTTTTCATCTGATGACAGAATTTGCCCCAAAATGTTTTTGTGATTGCCCTTCTAATAGCAATTGCACTTTTGTGAATGAACTTTTCTTTGGCTGTTTCTGTTAACATAAATGGATTGGATATTGCATTTTCCATTAGTAAAGGAAATGAAAGGAAATCTCTTCCTTCCTTCTTTTACCTCCACAGCTCTTGTGAAGCATGTTTCACCTCCTGGGATATACCTTTTGTTTTGATTGAAGAGAATGCTATTATTTTTTGTTGTTGTTTTTTCAGAGTCCATCCGTTCTTTTTTTTTTTTTTTTAATCAGAGATGTTCAATTCTTGCTTATTTTTTTATTTTTTTGTCATAAAACACTATTTTGTAAAAGTGCAGAGAGTAGAGCAGATGTAACCCCTCTCCCAAACATCATCGTCAATACTGCTTGTGGGAATGCTATTATTTTAAGGAAATTTTTCCATTAAAAATCTTCTGTGTGTTTGAGTAGGATAATAAAAGGAATCAGGTGTGGCAGGTCTGGGCATTTATTTGATACTTCCATTCTTTGCATGTTAGTTTTCTTAGAGGTGATTTCTACTTTGTTTTGTTCTGCCAGTAGCTTTAACAGAAATAAGTAGCTGTTTTGGAGCTATACCTTAGAGTAATTGTCTAACCAGCTCTATATCTGTGTGGTATCCTAACTTGAACTTTTCGTTAAAGGACTGTATATATTAGCAAAGGTTTTCTCAAAAGGACCAATAGTATGTTTTGACCCCTTCATCTTCTGTCTTTAAACATTTTTTTTTAACTTACAAAGCATGTCTCTTTACTTATCAAAAAAATTAACAGAATTGTAGCAGTTTTGGAGAGTTCTGCTTTGTACCAACATCTGTATTGTCAGCTGAGTTAAGATTGAAAGATCTTTACTCTTTCTTTGGCACTCCTTAAATAAGATTGTCAGTGATTGTATAATGAGGGGAATTGAAGAGGAGAGATATGACCATGCCAAGAGCCATTCTCATTGTAACTCAGGTGTACCTTTGTGTCTGCATAACAAGTACTCCTGGGTAGTATCTTCATAGGATCATAACTCTAGAGCTGGGAGTGGCCATAGAGGACATTTAGTCCAGCCCCGCTCATCTTACAGGTGAGGAAATGAAATGCCCAGGGTTATACAGTAGGAAGTAAGCATTAGAGGTGAGCTCTGAATCTAGGGCCTTTGACTTCAGAACCAGTTATTTCCTTGATGATTCCTTCCCTTGTTCCTTATTTTGCCCAGGCTTTATTTCTATCTCCTTTTGTGTTTGCAAGATTTCCAAGTGTTGGAGTCTTTGAAATGCATTTTTCCTTTAGAATGATTTAGTCCCTAAACAGTAATCTCAGTAAGGTTATTATAATTTATTTACCTTGATAAAATCTTTAATCTGCTTACTTTGCCCTTTTTTTGAGCATACGTAGTGACCAGGGTAATAATACCGTGTTTTAGGCACCTATAATTTTGCATCAAGTCAATGAGCACTGTCTATTGTAGTTGTCAAATAACCAGCTTATACTCATAGTATCACTGGTACTGGATTGGATAAATATACTTATTTGTAATGAAGGAAGCAGAGAGATTTGTTTTCAGATTTCTTGTAGACCTTTACAGATTTGGCAGTTTGATAAAAAATATGATGAAACTACACGTGAAGAAGCTCTTAGAGTTCTCTACCACATCTTAAGAGTTCTATTTCTGATTGTAGCCATGTTTTCAAAATTTCTTAGAGAAATTTGGAAACTTATTGTAGAAGAACACTTGTAGCCATCTCGCTTAAGTAAAGCATCTCCTCTTCCTTCCCCTCTCTCCCTCCCCACAAATTATACTTTCTACTTCATTTTTAACCAGGCACATCTTGACCTAGCTTCCTTGTCTTTGATTCCTCTCTCCCTGCTAATGAGAGCATTATGCAGTCATCGTGGAGGCCTACACTTGTAAGGGCCAAGTCCGGCTCCAGGAATGCTTGCTGAGGTCCTTTTTGTGTGGAAAGAATGGTTATTACCAGGGAAGGTTTTTTCCTTTTGTTTTACTTACCATCTAGATGCCGCACAGACTCTCGCACTCGCACAGGATCAGAGTATGGATATTCCAAGCCGAGATCAACTGAAGGTAAAATCACCAACTGGTGACTTCTTTTGTTGTACAGAGTGGCCCCTTCTCTGTACCTCTGGATCGTGGGCTCCCAAAACCTTTGCTCCTTGTCGTCAGACTTGACAGGTAAAGTTCTTGGGAGTCTACAGACCAAGGACAGAGTGAACCTTCTCTGTTCTGCCCATAACAGAGTTCCAGTCTCTGAGTCTTTCTTGGGATGTAGCACTTCTTATCTTTATTCCTTCCAGTTTACACTCTTTTGAGTTTGTGTATGTGTGTATGCGCATGTGTTTTGAACAAACTGCTTTACTGGAATTGAAACATCCTATGTGCAAGTAAGTACCAATCAGGCAGTTTCTTGTAGTTTTCCCCAAACCTGTTACTATAATCTTGATTTTATGTTCATTGAATCAGTCTCCTAGGAGACACTTCCTTTATTTTAGTAGTAGGCTAGAAGGAGGCTAGGTGCTGACAGATTGTTCAGAATGATCATTTTTGGCCTCTTTTCAGCTGAGATTTTCTTCAGGTTTGGGACTTCCCAGCTCCACTCGTGGTGGGGTTAGGGAAGATAAACTGACTTTCTGAATTTAGATGAGTGTTGTTTACTTCAGTGTTCACTTTCTGGTGCATAACCCATTGTGTTGCACTTTTACTGGTGACTCAGTATGGAACTGCTACATCCCCTTGGCCCAATCTAGTCTACCACCCTCATTGGTTGGTTTTCTCCTTCCTTCCATTTAGCAAGGTGCAGAGGGAAGTTCTAGCCCCAGGAATGGACCTGAAGAAGGTGATGCTCCTGCTCTGTCTACCTCACAGCGTAAATGCAGAAATCCAAGATCAGGTGAGGTTTTAAACTAAAGCAATGGATTCTCTTGTTGTGGGCTATAAAAATAACCCTATGATAAAATCCTCCTTCAGTGCCTTATTGTGGCATCATGGTATGACTGTGGGCTGTGGAAGGCTGCATTAGCAGAGCATAAGTTTTGGCAGGTATTGCCAAACTAGGAAGACTTTGAATGTGTTAACTCTCGACAGACTGGGTATCTTGTACAGAGACTGACTTGGATAAGTCTTGAAAAAATTACCACCAGTTCGGCAACAAGGTGAGTAATTTTTCAACCATGACAATTCTTGAAGACCATTTGCTAAGTCATAGAGGGGCTGTAATTTCCTTCATTGAAGGGTGTACCTTTGCTGATGACATCCAGGGTTCTTGCATCATTCAAGTAGAAGAACTAAAATAATCCTCTTCTATAACATAGACATTTACTGTAATGAATTAATGCTATTCTAGAAGCTCTCATCTATGAGTTTCTGAGTGCTTTATTAATTTAGTTTTCTCAGAACACTGAAGTCAAAGGGATATGTCATATCATCTCCTTGTTATTCTTTGAAACAACATTCTTTTTAAACTTCTTTTATAGCCCTAGATCCAGTTGAGTTTTTCAGAAGAGGCTAGGGAGATCCTTAGCATTCTGCTTTCAAATTGATTTTTTGTTAGGGCTCTGGGATGACGGGAGAAGAAATGTCATCATGCAGATAGTAGTCTCCCACTCACCCACAAGTCACCAAGTGAATTTTCCCTCTCCATGTGGCCTAAGACTCTACAGCCATTTCAATTTCAGTTCACTTCAAATCAACCTTTTGTTGCACTCTCTCCCTATTCTTGATCAGGTTAGAATTGGGACTTGCCTTGCCTGATGGATGGGAAAGTCAGTTTTCAGGGAGTCTGAAGTTTATGGAGCTTAATGGGTTGGGACTAAGATTTCTATTTCTCAGACCTTTGGTTCTAATAACCAAATAACATTGCTGTAACATTGTATGTATGGTTGGAAAAACCCAGGTTGAGTTAACTAGGATGTGGGAAACCAAATAAAATCTCCATTGTGTTAAGTAGTCTTTCAGAGTCATGATTTTATGTGTACAGATTTACAGAATCATAAATATACATGGAGGGTATTTTATAGCATACATGGTTCCTAATCCAGGTACTTGGTCTCATAAGTAAATATACACTTGGAGGAAATGGCAATTTAAATCCCAGTAGTACGTGTAATTATTAAGTAATGTCATCAAAATATTAAAGACCTTCCTGAAGGATATTTTGAATGTTCAAGTTATCAGGCTCAGAATTTTTTTTTCCTTTGTACAGATTGCGTAGGGATATAAACTGAATTGTGTGTGATCCTTGAAATCTTTAAGCCCTATCAGGAGTTTTTGGAGTGGAGTTTTAAATGTGTTGTCTTGAAGAAGTTTATTTTTTATGTACATCCTTTATGATGCAGAAACACTCTAAAGAGTATGTTTGAAGTATCCAGAAACTTAATTTGTCATCATGCTATGTATCTGGGCATGTTTGCTTTTCGGTCCCCTCGACTTACATCTTCTGAGAGGGGGAACAAGTGGCTTGATACTTGAGATAAATCTGAAGCTCAGGAGAAAAGAATGGTTTATTTTGAGTCTCTCAGAATAGGTGCCCTTAGAATGGATTGTGAAATTTGTGTGTATGAGGAAGATGGCTAATATAGAATAGTCCTAGCAGCTAACTTTGACTTGATACTTTGACTGCTATTAGAAATCTCCAAGGAGCAACTAAACTCAGAGTCATTTTTAGATCCATTGATATAGTGACAAACATGAGTTTTAAGTGTACAGACAATTCTTGCTTTATGTCAATTCGTGTTACACAAATTCAACTTTATATAAATCTGAAAGAAAGCTGCATTCCCCCCCCCCCAAAAAAAAACTACGTTAACTTTACTGTACCATACTGTGCTCGCTCTCTCCCCTTCTCTCTCCTCCTGTCTCCTTCCTTCCCCGTTCCTGCTTCTCAGCTCAGTGCTCCGCGGCCTCCTCCTACCAAAAAACAAACAAACCAAAAACCCCTCAAAGGGAAGGACCTCCACGGCACCTGATGGGGGCTTAACTTGAAGTCTCCAGCTAAAGAGAGGATAACTTTGCTCTGCTCACCCACGTGTCTGTCTCCTGTGTCTTCTGTCTTTTGGGACTCGGGTACCAAGTGCCTGACCCTAGCCTCCATGTGTCTGCTTCCCCAAGTGTTTTCCCTGTTGGTTCCCCTCTATGTCTGTCGCCCCTGCTTGTTCCTCCTCTTGCTCTTGTTTCTCTGTCCCTGGCCCCGACATGTCCTTGAACCATGTGCTGGCTCCTCTCCCTCCAAGGGCATGTGACTTCCTTCCTGCTTTCCTCCCTTCTCCATGTCCATTCACATTATGTAAAAATTGCTTTACGTAAAGGTCTGCCTTGCTTCTATAGGGACCTATTTATTGGAGTGCTGTTGTTTGTTAATAACAGTAATTTATATTTATGTAGTCTTTCAGAGTTATAGTGTCCTTTCATATATATAAATTATATTAATTTATATAGTCTTTTAAAATCTCATAATAAATGTGAATTTTTATATTATTTCACTTCAAAAAAAAAATAAGAGCTCAGAGAGCTTTAATTTACTCAATTGGCTTGCTTAATTTATTCATGGTTACTAAGTAGTAGAGATAGGACTTGAATTCAAGTGTTCTAACACCTGAATGAGTCAGATGTGCTCTCACATGTACCCCAGTGGGGGTACCAGGAGTGCTAGTGAAGGCTTAGGAATCACCTATGGGTTCTATAAGCAGCTAAGGGCATTGGAAGCTAAAAGGTTTGTTTGGTCTTTTTTTTTAAAGGAGAGTATATGAAAGGTTGGAGGAGGGGAAAGTAGAGGAAGAAAAGGGTTAGGCGTGCTGTAAATTGCCTGCTTCTGGCTTATAGGTTAGAGCAGTGAACAGGGAGTTGGAACCACTACAGTTATATTTTTTGCTCCATCATTAAATTACTGAAGACCTGGAGCAGATCATTTAATGAGTATTTCTTCTGAACAGTAGGAAGATAATTCCTGTTCCTTATCTACTTTGTACAGAAGTTGTGGGGATTATTATTGTTATTATTATTTTTTTTGTGTTTGTTTGTTTGTTTGTTTTTGGCAATTAGGGTTAAGTGACTTGCCCAGGGTCACACAGCTAATAAGTGTCAAGTGTTTGGTCTGAGGCCAGATTTGAACTCAGGTCCTCCTGACTTCAGGGCTGGTGCTCTATCCACTGCGCCACCTAGCTGCCCTTGGTTGTGGGAGATTATTAAAGAATATAGGTTCTTCAGTTTCGTGTCCATATATAGTATATTCATTATCGTCATCATTCAGCTTCTGTAGATGAAGACTTCACAGAAAATTTAACCCCAAACAAGTCACCTCGGCTAGACCTTGTGTTTGAGGAATGGGATGTCGCTGGCCTGCCTTGGTGGTTCTTAGGAAACTTGAGAAACAACTACACACCAAGAAGTAATGGCTCAACGGACTTACAGACAAATCAGGTAAATGCCTGTTGGATTTGGAGGGCTTGTGCTGCTTCCTTCTTGTAATTTCAGGGTGGCTTTTTTTGTTGAAGTTAAAGAATGGAATTTGTTTCTGTCTTGCTTTTGACAGGAGCATGTATTTTTTGTTTTCTGTTGGAGAGTACAATAGTCTGAATGCATAGACACATTAACCTCTTTAGCAAAGTGCTTCTCAAGAGTGCTAGAGAAAGAATAGACACAGAACATCAATAGATTGACGCAGAAATAAAATATTCCGTGGAGAAAGCTAGATATTTAATTTGGTTTGGGTAATTAGATTCTTTATGCTGGTCCTTATGTCCTCCAGGAGTTCAGAAAGTGCCAGGGCAAAGGGCTTTGGGAGCCTTCGTTATTTACCTCCTGATATTTCATCAGTAAACTTAATTGATTATTAAAGGAGTACAAGGATGGTTTCCATCTTTTTGCAGTGCCATTCGTGGGAGGGAGTTTTTGTTGAGCAAATCTTTGTGAGCTGCAACCTTTCAAAATATTCCGAATTGTTTCTCTAGTCTTATGGCAGCAGTCTCAGTAGAAGGATCTCACTTAGGGATTGCTCCATAGGACACAGTCACCACTGACAGTGTGAGAATTTAACTACTTCTATTACTGTGGAGAATTCATTGCCCTCATCATCCTTTGAATATTTCCTTTGGCTAATATTAGAATATAGTACGTGGTTAATTCGTTGAATGAATGGTCAGTGAGGAAAGCCAGGTCTTCCTTAAGAGAGAGAAGTTGTTTGAGTTAGGTGGCATCAGCCTCACTGATGGACTTCTGACTTAATACCCATTCTGACTTTCATCCACTTTCACTTTCTTATTCTTTAGGATATAGATACTGCCATTGTTTCGGACACTACGGATGACTTGTGGTTCTTGAACGAGTCAGGATCAGAGCAGCTAAATGTTGCAGTAAAAGTTGAAACTACTGATACTGAACAAGCAAATGAAAGAGGGAAAGAGAGTGACAAAAAGGTTTGTCCTAGAAAACTATTTTGTTAATCTCATGTGTGCACATTTTGTAAAGAAGCTCCCTCAAGTCATGGACCATGTCTTAAGCCGCTTTGCACCTCCAGTGCCTAGTAAGTGTCTTACACATAGTAGGTCTTCAGCAAATTGTTGTTGATGGTTAACTCACACAATGCCCTCTCATTTTGCATTTTTCCTTTTTCCCATCTCTCAGAAGATAAAGCTTTTAAAAAATTTCATAATTTATCCATCTTCATTTTATTATAACCTTCTACAAACAGGAAATTAGTCCAGAGAAAGCAGCAACTCACCTGTCTTTGCTTACCTATTCTTCTGTAATTTTCCTTCTGGAAACCTATTCATATATACTACAGAGTGTAATCAGGAGGCAGAGTAGACTTTTAAGTAATAAAAAGTATTTTTTGGTACCAGAGAAATTGAACAGCCACAAGGAAACATCCTTGAAAAAGTGATATATTCTCCAGTTATCCTTAAAGAAAAGATCCAGTGAAAATCATGCCCCACATAAACTTTATGTATGCAATTCTTCTTTTGTTTATTTCCTTTTAAAAATGATTTTCATAGGAATTCAGTTTTGTGGAAGATGGTTGTTTGTGTAGATGCTTGTATTCTTAGCCTGGTGACACAGGAAGGTGCAAAAAGACATAGAGATGCTTAAGACAGGGAGGAGGATTATCATTGGTAAATGTGGATTAAGTGCAAGTTTTGACAGTTGTATGTCTTTTTGGAAAAGTATTCCTAACATTGACATTCTGATCTCTGGGAACTCTGAATTGAAGCTGCTGTATTTACTGTACCAGAAACTGTAATCATTATTTTTCAGTTTAGTAGAAACTTTTTTAGGTAGGGTTAGGCTTTAGAGAGAAAGGAATAATTTTGTTGGCAGCATATTTTTTTCTTAAAATAATTATAAACAACAATTAAAAGCATGAAAAGTAAAGAAATATATGCATAAATGTATATTTGTATGTATCATAGACTTATCTGTGCTCCATTCTGAATTTGTCTGAAGGTCTGTTACCTTTTGACTCTTTTGTCCATATAGTTAGAGACTGTGTATGCTGTTCAGGTTGGGGGGTTAAAATGAAAAGCTCTGGATTTAGAGTCAAGCAGACCTGGCTTTTTATAATTTTGAAATTCCTTTATCTTTATAACCTAACATTCCATCTCTCCATACATCTTTTCCTTCTCAAACTTATTCTTCATTCTCTCTATAGCCCCTGCTATAGCTTTACTTGTTTTCCTTCCCTATCTTCACCATTTAGTTCACTGGTTCAGTTCTCTCTTGAATCCTTTGTTTCCTTGTTCTAGTGCCATTCATGCCTTGCAAGACCCATTCCTGGATATTTCTTCACCTTCTTCCACCTTTGTTCCTATTAATGTGCTACTGAATGGAGCTAGAGGAAGGCAAGCAGTGCTGCCTGGGTATGCTCCAAATTGGTTATTTAATCTCAACTGAACTTTCAGTGCAGTAAGGCGATATTTGTACTTCTTCCTCATTGATGCTGTATCCTGCTTTTCACAGCAGCTGTACATTCCCTTCTCTCCTCAAGCCTCACCACCATCCCCTCCCACCACTCTTTCAGTTGAGAGTCTTCCTCATACTTTACTGAGAAAATTGAGGCCATTCATCTTGGACTCTGTTCTTCCTTTTTATCTCTAAAATCCTAGACATGACATAATCCCCCTTCTCTTTTTTTTTTTTTTTTTAACTCCAATCTCTGTCGAAGAGGTGGCTTTGCTGCTTACCACCAAGGCAAATAAATCTCTTTCCATGCATCCTTGATCCTCTCCCCTGCATCTTCTCCAGCAGAGTACTCTCATAATCATCCTGTCTCTCTCCACTATTCAGTCTTTGCTTATCTTTTGGTTCCTTCTCTGCTGCCTCCAAGTCTTCCACAATCTTAGAAGAAGAAGAAAAAAGCTCACACTAGATCCAACCATCCCTCTTATTATCTTACATTTTTTCTCCCTTTTGCAGTCTAATTCTTAGAAAAAGTTGTCCTCACATGTTATATCTACTACTACTTTTACTCCATTTCTCAACTTCTTTCAGTCTGGTTTTTTTTTTAACTTCATCACTTACTTGAAATTGTTTTATCCAAACTTACCAATGACCTCTTTTGGATGTGGCAAAGGAATTGCTTTATCTGGTGGTCCCTACTCATCCTTATCCTTCTTGAACTCTTTGCAATATTTAGCGCTTCCTACCTTGTCTTCTCCCAGGAACTCTGTCTTTTCTGGGTTTTGTAACACTCCTCTCTGTCTCTCCTCATTCTCCTTGGCTAGCTCATCATCCCTATCCTGTCCTTCTAACAGTGGATATTCCTTAAGGCTCTATCCAGGGTACTTTCTCTTCCGTCTCTATACTCTCATTTAGTGAACTCATCATTTCCCAGGATTCATCATCATCTCTATACAAGTGACTCTTCTATCTAGGTATGCAGCGCATGTTTCTCTCTTGAGCTCCAGGCCCACATTTCCAAATGCCAAAGTACATTTCAAACTGGATGTAAAAAGGTCATCTCCAGCTCAACATGTTTAAAACAAAACATCTCTTTCTCTTCTTCCTCTCTGTCCCAACCCCAACAATCTGTCTTCCATATAGCTACTGAATTGGTTCTCCTTAATAACATATTTGAACCAGTCACTCCCCTTAGTGGCTAAAATGTAGGCTCCTTTCTTGGCATTTATGGTCTTTCAACCTACCTTTTCAACTTTATCACACATTACACCTCTTTACTTATTACTTACTTATACATATTATTATATGTAACCTCTGGTATAGCCAAATGATTTTTTTTGTTTCTCTTCCATGACACTCCCAGTTCCCATTTTCATATCTTTGCGTGGGCTCTCTGTCCTCTGTATGTGGAATGTCCTCTGTGACCCTGGCCTGTTAGAATCCCAAATTTCCTTTAACATTCTGCTCGACTCTTATGTTTGATCTCAGCTAATAGTACCTTCTTCCAAATTACTATTTAATTTTTACATGCTTATATATGTTCATTCTGTTCCCCACTGCCTACTATAGAATGCATGCTCCTTGAAGCCAGGGACTGCTTCACTTTTGTCTTAGCTCAGTTCCTGGAACATAAATGCTTATTTGATGCTTGTTGCTTGACTGACTGGGTACAATCACAGTTCTGTCATTTATTACCTGTGTGACCTTGGGCAGGTCACTGCACCATTCTTTGTTTCAGTCTTCTCTTTTGTAAAATAGAAATTGGACTAAATAGATGACCCCAGATTCTATCTGGCTCTAAATCTGGACTTGAATGATAATGTTAGTTCTCATTTATATAATGCTTTAAGATTTGTAAAGCACTTTACATATGTTATTGCATTTGTTCCTCGCAACAACACTGGGAGGTAGATGCTACTATTATCATCCATATTTTAAGATAAGGAAACTGAACCTGAGAGAGATTAAGTAATTTACCCAGGGTCACACCATTAATAAGCATCTAAGGCAGGATTTGAAATAATTTCTTCCTGATTCCAAATCCAGCATTCTTATCTGCCTCATCTATCAGCGTCCTAAATCCTCTTCTGAATCTATCATACAAGTCTGCATATTTCTTTTGATTTGATTTTTTTTGGTGACAATGTTACATTAATTTGCCACAATTTTTAAAGAAACGTTCTTTAGTTACTGGGTTTATGTATAGTTGCTGTCAGTTTTTTGCTCTTAAAAAAACACTACTATAAATATTTTTTAATAGATAGGCCTTTTTTTTTAATGAAATTTATGTATGAGGCAGTTGGGATTACAGCTAAGGGAGTGTTAGGTGTCTGAGACTGAATTTGAACTCAGGTCTTCCTGACTCCAGGGCTGGTGCTCTATCCACTGCACCACCTAGCTGCTCCCCCCCTTTTTTTTATCTTTAAGCTAGAATCCTTGCAGTGGAATGAATCAGAAGTTACGATTGCTTTTGTGACTTTTTTGCTATTGCCAGGTTGCTATGAGCATCTTTTTATTAGAATACCAAGGATTTGTTAGACTTTTCTGTGTGAAAAGTGAATGAAAGTAAACTACTTTAGTTTTTAGATTCTTATCATTTTTTGTAAATACTTCCCCAAAAGTTTAGAATAAAGATGTCCCTTGCATTTAGAAATTACAGGTCGTCTGTTAGTGAATATTAGAACGCCTCTTTCCATTTCCTTTAAAGGGACAGACTTTTGCTGTCACCATCTTCAATGCTGGGGGAATATTTGGGTCCTATTGAACTGCTGAGAAGCCAGCAGGGGGTGTTCAGAGCCTTATCTTAAAATCCCATCCAAGTTGTTCCCTTGATAGTGCTAGTGATGAAAACAGTATGTGCGATTTAGATGTCATTCTGTTCTGTGCCACAAGCTAATAACTGTGCAAATCTTGCTAATGAGGTGGTTTTTGTGTTTTTTTTTTTAATTCCCAGTTGATTGAAGTTAGGATATTTGATGACCTTGAAGATTCTCAGTGCTTAAGTGATGACACAGATACAGAAGTTACCTCTGAGGTAGGATACTTTTTATTAAAACATCTACTTATGTAACCTGTATTTTCAAAGGATGTAGTTCCAGCAGTTGGTTTTGGTTGAAGAATATATACCAGTACTGTCTCTTTTTTCCTTATTTCTACCTGAATACTTATCAAAAGAGTCAAGAGGTATTGGTGCTTCTTTAGATATTATTGGAGATTTGTATTGATTTTTGTGAAAATAAGGGAATGGATTTGATTCCATCATCTTACCTGGTTGTGTTTATGGAGGCACTATGGTATTAAATGGCTTGTCTGTGCCTCTGTTATCTTATTTCTTTTTTCCTAAGGCCATATTAGATATGATGCAATCTCTAAATAGGATATTTCAAACTCAATCCTATATACTGTCTCTGTATAACTATGGAGAGAGACTTATCATATTGTCACTGGGCAGTTCGTGCCTTAGAATAGACATCACTTAAAATATTGAATGTTCTTCTAATGAGTAGAAGTAGAAGCAACGAGAATGAGCAAGAGGAAAAATGCATTTTTTAAAAATGCACAAATATATATAGGTTCATGAGGAAAACCATTAATGAAATTTTGGGAATGAAGTCCTTGGGAGGTGTAGGTTGTTTCCATCACCTCTTCATAACCCAGGATTATATTTAAACCTTGCTTCTCCCTTTTCTGGGTATTGTTTAGACAGTTTCTTTCTCTAGGTACCCTGTACCTCTGAAGATGGGAAGGGAGAGCAGGACTGGGGAGGAAGAGGTATGGAAAAGTAGTACTTCAGTTTGCTGCTCTATTTGCAGTTTATATAGGACAGTGGAAGAGAGAGTTAGAAAAAAAAATCAGTAAATAAAGGATATTTGAGATTGCCTGGGAATTTCATTTATCTGATTGACTATTAACACACAGCATTAGCAGTTGGCCATATCTAGAGAGTAATGTGAAACCTATCAGTCCAGTTCTTGACCATTTTGTGTAAGTTTATCATGGCCTTTTATATCCTAGTTAGACTTCTGTTGGAAACTTGGGTCCAAATCACTTACTAAGTTAATGATTTAGAGAGAAAATCTTGTGAAATGTTCCCTTGGTTTTGAGGTTCTAAAATTTGACAGATTCTCCCCTTTCTCAGGAATTCATAATATTTTTGTCTAGAATTTTGTATCTCACTCTAATTTCAACATGAGACTTCTAAAATTTCTGTAGAATTTCTTTGAGGATATCTACAACGTGGAGGGGTGTCCCAAAAGCCACAGAGCGGTGTTAAGCTATTAAGGCTTAACTTTTGGGAGACTCTGTTAGAGAAGCTCTTATAAACTGGCAGATCCAAATGTTTTGTGCCTTGCTGTCTAAAGAGCATTCTATCTTAATAAATGGGATTGCTTCAGCCTTTAGGTAACTGAATTGTGGTTCTTTAGTAATGGTTGATTTTAGCCAGGGAACAATCAAGGTAGCGTCAGTGCAAATAAATTACCTATATTAAATACTTTTGACTTGTTCTGGCTACCCTTAGAAGAAGACATTTCCAGTTGAGTCACCCAGTGTTTCCTGCTTGCATTGTATAGGAAGAAGAGGGAATATAAAACTATCATGCAAAAGACCCTGGTCGCTTTAAGTTTAAGGATTCTTTGATATAGAGCCTACCCATCAGTGCTATTGAAGGAAACAGACATCATAAATAAATGGATTTTATCATACTAATAATAACTATATAAGTGTCAGGCATTGTGCTAAGTGCTGGAGATACAAAAAGAAGCAAAAGACAGCCTCTGCTCTCAAGGAGCTTACAATCTACTGGATAATAATAGCTTAACATTTATATAGTGCTTACTATACTATATAGCACTATGCTAAGTGCTTTATTATTACTGTCTTATTCGGTTATCACAACAACCCTGTAAGGTAGGTGCTATTGTTATCAATGTTTTTATCCCCATTTTACTGATGGGGAAACTGAAGCAAACAGAGGTTAAATGGCTTTCCCAGGGGCACACAGCTAGTAAGTGTCTAAAGGTGGATTAGAACTCAAATCTTCCTGACTCCAGGCCAGGAACTCTATCCATTGTACTACTAGCAAGTATTTGCCAAATCCGGGTATTAGTATCAGCTTATTTTCTCACTGACCTTTCAAGAGGTGTTAGGTAGGTGAGAAGTTTGAGTCCTGTTGTACCTTTGCCTCAGGTAATGTTGATTGGACAAGACATAATATACAAAAGGGAGAGAAGGAATGAGTAGTATAGCACTTATTATCTACAACCCGATTAAGCCTAAATGATTAAGATAGCTTTCTTCCGAAAAGCCTTATTACACCTTAGTTTGAATATTGACAATACTCTCAGACAATGTCCTTCATTCAAGTCCTACTTTGCTATATCAACCTGGTAGAAAAGTGATCTTGGGTTTTTGATCCTGGGCTATGCAAGTGGATCCTGCCAAGCTAAAACATATGTATTACTTGGGTCTGGAGATTGAATAGATATTTGTCTCCTTAGGACAGGCCTCCTTACTTTGAGAGACTCATTACCCAAAGGTGAACCACTATGAGGTGATGGATTTTTCTGCCCATAGCAACCCAAGAAAATAATATCAGTACCAGTAAAGTCACAGCTGCTTATCAGGGAGTGTGGAGCATCTCCTGACCAGCTTAAGGAAATTTCGTGTTTTCTGCTTGTTTGTTCTTTTATGTAGAGTGATACTCAAGTGATTAACTTGAAATCTGTTGATTTTATAGGGTGAATGGCAGTGCACCAAGTGCAAGAAGTTTAACTCTCCAAGCAAAAGGTACTGTTTCCGATGTTGGGCATTGAGAAAAGATTGGTATTCAGATTGCCCTAAGCTGTCCCATTCCCTTTCCGTGTCCAATATCCCTACCATGCCAGTGAAGAAAGATGACCAAGGAATTGATGTCCCTGATTGCCGAAGAACCATCTCTGACCCGCTTGTCCGACCCAAAGAACCATATAAGATGGAAGACAAGTCCAAACTACTGGACTCTTGTAGCTCAGTAGAATTCCTGGATTTGGCCCAGAGTTCTGAAAGCCAGGAGACCATTTCAAGCATAGGAGAGCAGTCAGACAACCTTTATGAACAGAACACAGATACAGCAGCTATGGAAAATTGCAAAAATCTTTTTAAGCCATGCAAATTGTGTGAGAAGAGGCCACGGGATGGGAACATCATTCATGGGAGGACCGCTCACTTAGTGGTTTGTTTTCGCTGTGCCAAAAGATTGAAGAAGACCAGGGCTCCATGTCCCATTTGTAAGAAATCAATTCAGATGGTCATCAAAATCTTTGTGGCATAGCTTTTTAGGCAGGTCACTGGGTTTTACAGACCCGATAACCAGCCATGTGAGGGCTTCAAATGTCAGTGGTGAGCATCTGCACTTAGAGTATGGTCGTAGCATGTCCCTTTTGTTTGTGTGTCATTCCCGGTAAAGTCACCTGGAGTTTGAGCAGGAGCTCTTTGGAACTAAATAGCTTTTCCTAAAGATTCTCTTTTGAGGACCTATTAAAATGGGTAGCAGTTTTTCAGAAATTACTCAGTTGAACTCGGGGAATTGAAAAGTACATGGAATAGCTGCCCTCCCTATCCTTCACAGGTTGAGGTAGATACAGAGGGATTTGAGAGGGAGAAGGGCCCTAAATAATGACACAAATATGAGCCTTCTTTTCTAAGCTGTTAGGGACTTCAAGTTCCTGGAAAAAACTTATTGTTGATAATAGTCTCTAACACCCAAGATGATTAGGAAAAGATCGAAGCTGGCAATTTGAAAATATAAACGTTAATCTTAAGGTCATTCCCTCAGCTTATTGCAGTCCAGTGGATCTCTTCACTTTGCATTCACATTGCTTATTTGTAAGGACAAGGGCCTTGAGCAAATCAGAGTAGACATATATACTTTTTATTGTTCCTAGACTGAGTTGTTTTGTTTACTGAGGTACCCCATGTTAAAGAACCCTTGGATTTAGTGTACAAAACTGCATTCCTGAAAGGGCATTGTCATAGAGCCATAGAATAATGATCTCTAAGATCTGACAGCACCAATTCTCATTTTTCAAATGAAAAAAGTAAAGTTCAGAGATATTGTCACCCAAAGTCACACAGCTAGTGACAGAGTGAGGACCAGGATCCTGGACTCCAAGAAAGAGAAATATTTAAATTGTGCATTTGATTGAAATACCTATATATACTGAAATATACTGAAAGATTATACTGAAACTAAAACCTTAACAGCAAGTGGTCTAATTATCTAAACATTATTTTATTGGAACATTTTGTGACTATTCTGAAGCTTGAGGACACTTTAACCTATTTATTCTCTGTTTTCTCCATGAAAATCTGCCTCAGTGTTTTAAGCACTCTGGAGTTCAGTTTAGCTCTGAAGAAACTCTGGTTTTTTTTTCTCTTCCATTTTATCGTATCAAAAGAGTGAGTTATTTGAAAGTGGTTATGATGGTATATGATTAGGGATCTACACTACTTGTGCTAAGTCCAGCTATGTAACAAATTCAGTTCTGCAGACATGTATTAACCACCTCTTATAGACAAGGCACTGTACTAGGTCCTGGGGCTATGTAAGGACTCAAATCCCTGCCCTCAAAAGGAGTAGTTTTGTAAAGTTATAATTTTTTATAGAGTACAAATGAAAAGAATCTAGGAAGGAAAAATATATATTCATATAGTAATGAGAAAGCTTATGTATTCAGGAAGACATATAAATTCAGACAACAGTGAGAGCAAATGTATGGCTATATGAATGTCTACAAATTTAATTTAGTATTTCAATTCTGTACAGCTTTCGCCTCCCAAATATTCAGCTTGTCTTTCTTTTACTTCAGCCTTTATTCTTCATTTGTCCCATCTGTGCCAAGTATTGTCCTCAGAAGATCCTAAGTTACACATTAGAACCCACTCTGATTGCCCTTGGATCCCTCTTGAGGACCTGTCACCAGTGTCTGTTTTTGATTGTTTTCTTTCCCTCACTGCTACGAACACAAGTCATGCTGTAGACCTGGTGTGGTGGAACTGAAGCAGTAACCCAGGCTCTTCATGGAATCTGGAGAGGGAGAGGAAAGTCCATATTTATGCAGACCTCCTTCCCCTTCATCTTCTCTTGCTTTGAGGCATGTGCTTAGAGGCTTATAGATCCAAAGCTGGAATAAACAGTAGCCTGTCTATTCCAAGCCTATAGTTTTACAGCCTGTACTTGACTCTGCTCTTGGTTTTACTCTGCTATCTTGGCTCTGCCCCCTCTACTCTTGGTTTTGAAAAGATTTTAAAACTAATGTCAATAGAAGTAACCTATTGGCCTAGGTCCCTTTTATTGACCTTTCACACATTTCTTTTGTGAACACTTTGAGTCATTGTTTAAGTAGCTGTATCTATATACACACATGTGTATGTGTTTTATAAAAACAAATGGGTAAAGAGGACTTAGAAAAGTTAGTCAATTTCCAGGTTTTGTCTGAAGAGTTTTCTTGACTATATTAACTTTGTACTCATCATACTTAAAAATCATATATTTAAGGCTTATTCTGTCTTTAATACTATAATAAGTCTCAGAAGGTCATACCATTTCTTAGTAAGGTATTTAAAGATTTTCATAGGTTTCTGTGAATTAAAAGGACATTAGAAGTTATTCATGGCCAACTCAAACCCAGGACATATTTCTGTAATAGGAAGTTAGCTTTGACTCCCTAGCCACTATGACAATACCAAACCAATACATTTTGTTTTGGATGTAGTGATGTAATTTTGTGTGTGTCTGTGTGTGTGTGTGTGTATGTATGTATGTATGTGTGTGTGTATGCGCGTGCGTGTGTGTGCGCGCATACAGAGGTGCGCAGGCTGGCCCACCCATTCCTTTACATTTGTACTTAAGAATTGTTTGAGTTATGATATTTGTTTGTTTTGAAGGAAATACTCAGAGTTTGTAATTGTATTTTTTTACCACTTTGCTTTGTATCATTATTTTGGTCACTCCTGAGCACTGCAATGTTGGCTTCTCAGTGGAAAGTCATTTGTATGAAGCTAGTGCACCTTAGTTCATGGACTTCAAGAGAATTTTTGGGTGTTACTCACTGACTTTTCTTCTTCTAATGAGCTCTGTGCACACCCATGGAAGAAGCAGCACATGATCTGGATACTGTGAATCTATTTTTTTTTTTTTTCATTTACTTTGTTACCTTTTCAAATCGTGCAGACCCTCTTGCAATGTTGAGAGCTGTTCATATAAATGAAAACCCAGACTTCTAAATCTGTTGAAAGAAGAAGAAAAATTGTGAACTGTATGTGAAGAGCTGTACAACAGGAGCTAGGGATGTGGACTCTCTGCACCTCATGCCTAGAAATACCCCCATGTCTTCTCATTCCACTGCCACACTGCTGGCACGTGTCCCTAGAATTGTCCAGAAGTACCTTTGATTGGAGATACACATAATACAGGTCAAAGAGTGAAGGGAAGCACGATGGTTCATCTGGAGAATGATGGGTGAGGGGATCCCCAGGAGGAGGAGGTGGTAGCCATGTTTCTGTGGCCTCATTTTTCATAAGCACTGATATACTTCCTTTCATATGCTCCCTGTTTGTTGTAGTTATTGCTCTACTTCTTGTGGTAGAGCATCCAGAAAGCATCCTGTTAATAAGATGTTCTGATCTGAGAAGAGCATTATTGAGAATGCTCTGCTACCCTCTGCCCTGCTACCCTCTACCCCCCCCCCCCCCCCGGGTACATTAAGGTCTTGCTTGTGTTTCTAAATGTACAGGTAGGTTTCCTCTACCCTCTAGTAAGAGGCTTTTTGAGGGACTATAAAATGGCATACAGTGAAATAATTTTTGAAAGGCATATTCGTGTATGTTTCAGAGTTATCTAAAGTCCAGAATGCTGTCTCTGTTGCTGCTTGTGTTTTGCCCAGTAATTTATTGCTTCTTGGGTGTCTAGTGTCGTTATTACCCTATTCTGGATCAGCTGTGCAGAAAACAGTGCTGTACAAGTACAACATTTCCACTAAGAGCAATTATTTAATTCTTTGTGTCAACCCTTTCTAGGAAATGAGCACTACTGGTGTTAGATCAAAATCCCCTGCTCAGTCCATTAAGATGTGTTTTTTCATGTTTGATTTCTGTTAATCTGAGGACGTTGAATTTTAGGGCAGTGCTTCTGTGCTTGAAACCAGTATGCACAAGTCCCCTTTCCACACCCACAGCTAGTTTATGTCTGTTTAGTACTCAGCAATTAATTTTTGGCATATAACTGCTGATGCCCTGGGGGTAAATATGGGTTTACTGTCGGAACAGGAGAGATGGGACAGCAAACTCAAATTGAGTGACCAGAGGCTGCCCGGGCAGCCAGCCCATGTAACGGAGCACTCTGAAACAAGGCTTATCCTGCTAGGACAAGGCTCTTTCTTTTCTCCTTGTTGGCTACTTAACTTAGCTTTTCAGTGAGAGCCAAAGTTTTTCCTTTGCTTAATTCCTTTAATAAGCCACTGAAAATTTGGGGGGATTTGAAAAATTCCTTCAGATGAAGTGCCTAAACACTAGTGTGCCTTCTCTTAGTCTGTGGGATTGGTGGGGACGTGTGGCAGAGGGGAAGTCGGGTACGAGTGGAGAGAGCCAGCAGCCAGCCAGGGTGGGTCTGAATAGGGATGGAGGACCCTTGGAAATGACAGGCTTTGACTTCAGTATATGGAATACTCTGCCAAAGAACTAGGGGGAAGAGTGAGTATAAAGAGCACTCTCTGGGAGCGAAAAGGTCTTTGAAAAGTTGCTTACTTAAATGCTTTTTTTTTTTCTCCCTTTTTGGTGAGGCAGTTGGGGTTAAGTGACTTGCACAAGGTCACACAGCTAGTGAGTGTCAAGTATCAGGCTGGATTTGAACTCAGGAGATCCTGATTCTAAGGCTGGTGCTTTATCCACTGTGCCACCTAGCTGCCCCTTAAGTGCTCTTCTATGATGAACTTAACACAAGCATTTCACTGTAAAGAAGTAGTAAAAGGAGGCTGTATGTGTGAACTCCATGAACTTGTGTTAGGTGCAGTTTTATAGATAACATTTCATGCCAATGTAGCAAAATTGTGTCCTCTTCTGAACTTATCTTTGTTTTCTTCTATGTATTTTTAAATATTGGTGCTTATATGAATAATTTTGGGGGGGGGCAGTAAGCCCTCCCTTGGCAACAAGGTCAAATAAAGTCTCTCACCATGTTATTCATTTCTGACAATGTCTCTTTCATTCTGCTCCACTAGAGGCTCTCTGTTGAAAGACACAGGTCAGAAGGTTCTGTCCTGCCTTCTGCCACTAAGTTGTTGTTTGACCTTGGGCAAGTCACAGCCTTGGAACCTTAATTTCCTCATCTGTAAATAAGGCTAATAATACTGCCCTGCCTACCTCAAGGGTTGTTTTCAGGAATAAGTGCTTTAAGAGTTCTGAAGCTTGTCGGTGATATGTATACAAACACATTCTGTCTGCTACATAAAATAGCAGTAACAGGGAGTGTAACATGGTATTACCCTGTTGGCAGGCAGCTGTTGGGCAGATGTTTCAGGTACTTATATCCAGGAAAGGGGGCACATAAACTCATAGGGCTCCTTATCCAGCAGTGAACTGATTGTGGTAATGTTAAACTCCTGTCCAAGCAACTCACACCAGCTCTTGCTGTAACTGCTGCAGAGGACCAAGTTGTTTCTGTCAGGGTAATGGCTTTATGGAAGATTATGTAGCTTCACGTAGTAATTTGCAGCATGTAACTGCCACCGCATTATTTGGCAACACAGAAGTTCTCTTGTGTAGTTGGTACAGAATTCACTGCCAGTGCAGCTTATGTTAGATTTTTGCGGAAGTATTGAAGCAAGTATTTTTATTTTAGGTTTGGGGAGAAAGAATTGTTAGCCGTTTCTTACATGGGGGATGTGTTGAGATATGAAAGAAAAAGTATTTTTGTTCTTAACCTAGTTTTCTTAAGTCTAATTCTGCAGCACCTTTGTACATTAGGCATTTGCAATATTTAAATGCTTTTGAGTAAATACTGAAGCTGTATTTTGCCTTTTTATATTAAGTAGATCTTTAATTTTGTCCTTGTGATGTCATTATTGGAAAGATAAGTCACTTTACTTGTTTGGATGAAATTTTGGTTTCAGGTGATGACAGTCTTTGCATGACTTTAGGGAGAGAAGAGAAGAGCTCTATTGCAGTAGAGAAGTCATCAATTTCAACAGAAGCATCCATAAAATATTAGGTAGTTGAAGTAATGTGCTGTCTCCTTTCCGTTTCCTGGTCTTATGGAAAGCAAACTCCAGGAATTCAAAGTGGGGCTTTTCTCTACTTTTTTCTTTTACTTCTTCTCACTACCCACAGCCCTATCATTCAAGAGGGCAGGCATAATACCACCAAAACAGAAATCCTTGCTCTGGATCATAAATTTAGAGCTGGGAGGGATCTTAGAGGCCATTGAGTGCAGCCCCTCCCATAACTCCATTTTGCAAATTAGAAAACTGAGGCATAGTTGGCCCAGGATCACTCCAATAAGTGTGAGGTTGGATTCGATCCCACATAATCCCAACTTCCTTGTCCATTGCCCTATCCACTACTGTACTATCCTGCTTTTGAAGGTTATGGTAATTGAGCTTAAGCTTTGCTCATCAAATCCATTTTTGCAAAGGGTCCTTCACACATGCAAGTGTTTTTAGTATACTAATATGCTCGTAAACTAATGGGCCTTTCCCAACTAATAATTCTTTCAACAAACATTAAGTATCTCCTTTGTAATTTTGTTGTTTTCCATTGTAACTTTTCACCTTCACGGTTTCTCCAGTGTTCATTTTAACTTGATTTTTTTTCTCCTTTGAGGATGGAATTGAATGACTGTGGAAACAATCTCCTTGCAAACAGGCCCCTTTAGTGACCTCATGCTGTTTATTAGTGTTCTCCAAATAGAGTTCACTAACCCTAGAAATGGCATTGAAGGCAAGGAACAGACATTGATGGAGTTTCAGAGTGGGAGAAGCTGCAGAGTTCTCTGGGCTACTCACTAGGCTAATTGGATTGAAGCAATTAGAACGTCCCCCAAGCCACCACTGCCACCCAGGTAGAAGACACTTGGCTCTGGCAAATCCAACTCTTGGAATTAAATGTGTGTTGCCTCTACCAGTTTGATGTAGCAGTTTTTCCACCAGAGGGCACCAGTGGCTCAATTCTTTGAATAACATCTGGGGAAGAGATAGTTAACCAAGTCCAAATAGGTAGTCCATTTAACCAACCCAGGTTATTTATGTGTAACGCTTCTCAAGTTCCTGTCTGTATTTAAATGCTCTTATTCCGTGTATTTTGAAGAATCTTGTTTGTGTTTGTGAGACCTCCATACTACTCAAGTCCATTTCTTATTCATTTCTCCATCTCTAGGCAACTTTGTAATAGCTATTTTTTGAAATTAAAAACCTGAATATTTCAGTTCCTTTTCCCCTGGCTTATGCAGATGAGTAGCACTGCTTTACAATTTTCTTTGCTTCCTCTCACACATTCTCCCTCCCTCTTGCCAGAAGGGTAGGTGGAAGAAAGAACCTATTTCAGTCAGAGCTTGTGGTCGGCTGCAGACACTTAGGCTGTGTCTCATGTGAAATTGTCTTTTTTGGGGAATCTGTCATACCGATTGGTAGATGTCTTATAAAATGGTTATTATTTAGGATAGAATCCATTTTCCTTTCCAAACAAAAGTGGGCAGGAGCTCTCAATGTGTGGTGCTAGTGAACCCCTTGGGGATGGATTTCCAGGGTCTACGAACTTGTATTTTAAAAAAATATATTTTAATTACTGTTTTCAACATCATTGATTTCCTTTGTCATCTTATGAATTTTCTTTTGTGCATTTAAAAACGTTTTGAGAGATTTCAGCAGACTGCCAAAAGAGTTCATGATAGAAAAGGTTTATCTTCAAGTGCAAGCACTTCTAAAAGCTTGTGTAATATATATATGTATCACATGCAAATATCATTCATCTTTGTATCCCCTATAACCTCTTTCAATAAAAGTTTTTTGAAGCATGTATGGTGTGTGTATATATAGTACCTTCTGATCATTTCTCTTAATTGCTGGGGAGGGAAAGGCAGATGCTTTTAACATTTTTGTACCTGGAAATGGTGACCAAGTCAAGAGAAAAGTGAAAGGGAGTTTAGTTCATTAGCTTGCATCCACAAATGTACATAACTGTACTACTAAACTATAACTGTACATACTAAAACACTTTGCAGATGTTAGTTCAGAAAAGGCACTGTCCATTGAATTAGAGCCATACCAGTTTTCCTACCAACCAATACCCTAGTTTAGACCCTTATCACTTTTTCCCTGGAATACTGCAGTAGTTTTCTAAGTGGTCTTCCTGCCTCCAGTCTCTCCTATCTCCAATCCATCATCTGTATAATTGTCAAGTATTTCTAAAGCACAAATCTGATCCTGCCCCAGTTTAAAAAAGCTTCAGTAGCTCCCAGTGACCTCTAGGATAAGATACCCCCATCTTTCCAATCTGTCTTCCCAGACATTTCACATTACTATTGATTGATCAAATTGAACATTCTGGCCAATCCAGCCTACTTGTTGATCATTGTGTGCAACATTCCAGTTCTATTTCTATTTCTTCGCCCAGGCTCCCCCCATCCCCCCTCCCTAGTTATATTTAAGACTCTACTTCAGTGCCACCTCTAAGAGGCCTTTTGTTATTTTACTGGTCATCATTTCTACTCCCCAAATTAATAACTACTTTGATAAGTGTTTTGTGTTGGCTTATTTCTGCATGTGTTGTTTCCCCTCAGTAGAATAAAGCTCTTTGTGAGCAACAACCGTTTTCATTTTTGTCTTTATGTTCCCAGCACCTGGTGCCTGGTAGGTAAACATTTAATTGAATCCCTGGTGTAAGCTTACAAGCATAGAATAAAAGAGAGTAGGCTAGGGACTGGCCTGTGATTTCATTAGTATGGAGAATTCCTATGTGAGAAATCTCCTTCTGCCTATGCAAGTCACATTTTCCTAGAGCACTGAGTAGAGTTGGGTGACTTGCCCAAGGTCACATAACCATTATGTGTCAGGGATGGGATTTGGACCCAGTTTTCATGGCTTTGAAGCCAGGTCTCCATTATACGACTGCTCAGAAATGAATACCCACTTAGATAAATGAAAGAAGGGTAAGAAACAGCCTTCAAATACTTCTGCTAGTTTGGTTATTTTTCTGTTCTTGGAGGATGAAAGATGGGCAGGAGTGGAGGGACACATAAGTATTGAAAAAAGATGTAGTAAAACAAAATGGTGTTAAATCTCCCTCTTTCTAATCTTCAGTCTCTTCCTATCTGCTAGCTTCTTCCCCACGATCACAAAGATGAGCCGTCTCTATCCTTTAACTTTCACTAAAACCTTCCATTTTTCCATCCCTTATCAGTTGAACTTGCAAAAGCTCTCTACACTCAAGTCTCCACTCAACTCCTTTTGCTCTCTAATAGCAATCTAGCTTGCAACCTTGCTATTCAACAAAACTATTTTCTCTTATGAGGAAACTTCCTCTACCGATGTAGGTCACCATAGCACTTACAGTCTTGGAAAATTGGTGTTGAGAGGTTAATGACTTGCCTGGGGTCACAGAGCCAGTGTGTGTCAGAATACTTGAATTCCAGCCTCTAGGCCAGCTCTCTATCCATTATGCCTGGCTACCTTGCACGTAAACACTTGACTAGCTTGGGATATAGTGAGCTTCTCATCACTGAAAGTTTAAGCAGTGGGTTCTGCCATGTCTACCGTACAGATGCTCCCCACAGTTGATGGGAGTTTGGATTGCCTCTAAGATGTTTTCTCATGCTTGACAGTCTGTG